GCTCTTCCCGAACACTCGTGAGCAGCTATGAAATACTGCAGTTCTCCCAGAGCAGCTGATGTTCTTCACACTTAAGTGCTGCCCCTGCCCCTTGCAGCACCAAACCCAAGAGATCCCCCTCTCGCCCCCACACTCACAAATTCCCTTTTTCCTAAAGGTCCCTGCAGAGAAGGGTGCAGACCCCAGAAACTCGGCAGATCTTTCTCCAGACACCCTTTCCTATTGCTGCGTCCTCTTCTCCTCACCCCCCAGGTAGATGTGGGCACCCAGGGCTGCTCTGCCCACCCCAGGCTCCAGCCCTGCCTGCACCAAGCAGGCCCCATGGCCAGCCAGGCTACTCCAGGACTGCTCCTTTCCCGCAAGCCCAGGGGTCCCTGCAAGCACCTTGTCCCCAGGGGAGAGGTCGGCGATCTGCCGCACCAGGATGTCTATCAGCACCATCATGTCCGTGTGGTAGAAGATGCTGGCGGTGTCCTTGCTGGCAAAGACGTCCTGCAGAAACTTCAGCACCGAGTGCGGGGGCTGCGGCTGATGCTTGAAGATACAAACCGGGTCATCTGCAGGGCAGAGACACGGCGTTGAGCCCCCGCTCCCGCTGCCGGCCGCGCCACGCTCAGCACCTGCCCTTCGGTAGACGGGGAGATGCTGGAGCTGCCCTGCCCTTGCCAGGCGCTCCCGGCGCTGCGGATGCGGCTGGAGCGTTTTGCGTGAAGCTGCCTAATGGGCACGGCAGCTCTGCGGGGCAGCAGGCCCAAGGCAGCCTCGTTAGCGTGAGCATTAATCACTGTTTGCCTTGCACCTTGCACCCCAGGTGAAGGCTCATTAGCACACCCCCTCCTCGCTCAACAGCTCCCGTTCATTTTCCTCCTGGTTTATCAGGTCTGGTCCAAGGACCCCTCTGCAGGGCCCACCCGTGCAGCCGAGCCCACCTTGGAGACCAGGCGAGCGATGCCCTGGAAGCAAGGAGAGAAATACCCCCCGGTGCAACGTGGACAGGGCCTCCTGCTCCGCTCCAGGGGTCCCTGCGGAGCCCAGGAGGGGCTCGTGGACACGGCAGGGCCCTGGCTGCTGTCAGGAAGGAGGGCCCGGGACAAATGTCCTTGTGAGGTTGTGGTCGTCCCCGCTGCTTCTTCCCCGGCCCCTCGTAAGGAGGAGCTCCCTGGGGGGAGGCTGCAGCCAAGGGCTAAACGGAGGCTCTGGGAGGAGGCCGGGCACAGGCTGCCCTCGAGCTGGTGGAATATGGAGTCAGTGACCTGCAGCCCCACAGAGAACT